TGGAGTTACCCATGGCGGCCTTCATGGGCCATTCTGCAGAGCCATGCTACACTCCCCAGCCAGATCCAAACTATGGATTGAGGCTTCTCATGGAGCAGTTTGCTCGAGACAGTGAGAGATCATGGTCCAGGATGGATCTTTGTACCCAGGCCTATCGTGAAACAGAGGAGATCCTCCTGAGCATTAAGAAGAGCGTCGATGATCATGAGCGATCTTATGCACAACCTGCTCCAGATCACCCTTATTCTACCATACTAGAAGATGAGGAGGAAGAAGAAGGCTACAAGGACATTGTGGAGCACACTGAAGTTTTCACGGAGAGCTCCCGTGATGATCATGATCAGGAATGTCCTGTCGTAGCCGACCACACCTTCCCACATCTCAAACTGAGCTTTGAAGAGGCGGGCATGAGTGAGGAGATGCAAGATGATCTCATCAAAGAAATTGCTTGGCGACTTGCCCTCCAATCCGTGTTGGAAGAAGAAGAGCAAGAAAGGGTGCAGAAAGAAGTTGTGGAGGATGACGAAAATGAAGCAGAAGGAGTTCTTGATCTTTTCCCAGGGGTGATACCACATGAAGAAGGAAGGGGTGTTGAAGAAGCAATTGGCGTCCAGGCCGAGGACGAAGTTGAGGTGGAAGAGGCTTGCACCGGCCATGAGTTACATGTGATATCTCCACCAAACTTCGAGGAACTACTTAGCAAGGACCCATTTGCAATGTCTCTTTGCCAGACCAAGGCCACATCGACATCGGTCCCTCTTGGTGGACGCGATGGTGGTCAATCGATGCTGTCATATCTAGTTTGGGGCAATGATACGAGAGGAGAGAAGAAGAGGTCTCGAGGGTGGAGACTTCATCTGCATCAAGTGCACGAGCTTCCATCACCTGTCATACCACATGCTCGTGACTTGAGACTCCACCTCATCGACGGAGAACCTCAACTTCAAGGAGGTTTTGAGGTGGGCCAAAACTTAGGAGCCATCGTCCGGCTCACCACGTGAAAGAAGCGCTTGTTGGGAGGCAACCCAACCAGTCGGTTTGCATTTCTTTCTCTTTTTCTCCTCGGTTGAGTCAGTTTTGTTATTTTATTTTAGAGTCAATAACTCAACCTTAGTGAGATTTTGTGCGGTGTTTGTGTTCCGACTACTCTCTCATCCTGGAATGCACCGCTTGACCCGTCCACCATCATTCATCCTTGATCTGGTAGCTTCGCTCTACCCTTCTTATCTTTCCTCCATTGAGGACAATGTCGTGCTTAAGTGTGGGGGGGTGTTCGATTATGTATGCGGGTGAATGTTTGGCTGTTTGTGTGCTTGAAGCCTAGTCCACTATCCAAAATTTTAAATTTGAGGGCTCCAAATACGTGTTTCCTTTCAAATTGCCTGCTCAGTATGCTTTGAATTGACAGTCTCTGTAGTAATGTGCAACCTAGGGAGGTAGTGTAGCACTATGGAGGATGTTGAAGTATAAGATTTTTCCTATCTAGCCCTCTGCTGTGCTAGTTGATTTTGTGAATTAGTGGAGCTAAGACCGTTGAATTCATGTGATAGTGGTGACTTTATTTGGATTGTGTTATGGACTCGTGTATCGAACAGGGTGCTCATGTGGAAAATGGAAAGCAGCTGGTCCTCCATGTCGAAATCATTAAATCTTAAACATGGGGTAAGCCCAACGTGTGTGGCATCGTTCATTGCACAAAATCGGGTTTTGAAGGAGATTTTAGTGATCCTTAGTGGGGTACTCCTACAAGGTGAAGCTAAGAGGTCTCTAGTACAAGTAAAAGTTTCACCCGTTGAACGGTTTGCCTACTCGAGGATGTGTTTTTAAGGGCACGGATAGAGCTTCCAACCCCCCTTAATTTCATTGACCCTCCACTCGAGTTGAGGAAAATGAGTTAAAAGAAGTACTTTGGCGAGCGCCAGATGTACAGAAATTGCTCTTGCTCGACTAATAAGGGTCGACCATGCAAAAGAATGCAGTTGGAACCCCCGCTAAGTGAATGAAAGAAAAAAAAAGTAAAATGAAAGTGAAAAAGGGGTTCCAACGGTGAAATGAAGTGAAAGAGCACCCCGGTACAAAGAGTCCTTGGTTGTGAATGGTGTGAGTCCCTTTATCCATGAACTGACTGTCTTACTTCTAATTCTTCTCATGATCTTGGCTTGAGTCTAGTACTCGAATTGAGAGAGATAGGGAACGTCTTAGAAGACCAGTTGACCTCGTAAGCTGCTATATGATCTAGAAAATCCTCTACCGACGATCGCGGTTGTTTGTTGCTATAGAGGTCTGGAGAGTTGCATTGGTTTGAGTTAGGTTTGCTTGGGGACAAGCAAACGGTTAAGTGTGGGGGAGTTTGATAGACCATTGATTGCACATGTTTTTACCCCTATTCTTGAGCCGTTTGAGATGGTGATTCTCTTGTTTTAAGTCGATTTCACGCTAGGTTGTGTGTTCATGTCATATTTTAGGGCTTGGCATTGGCATCGAGGCGAAGGAACGAGTTTCGGGTCGAAAGGAGCACGTTTGGGTTGAAGTGTGTTGGAGGAGCAAAATACCCGGCCATGGGCAGAAATACCTGGCCGGGTATTATTTAGAGCAGACCGGGGAAAACTTCTTTTGGGCGTCTGAGAAGCAGAAGGGGGCCCGGGCAGTAATCATAAATCCCCGGTCGGGGTATTCTTGGCCTTGACCGGGGATTAACCCCTGTTCCCCGACGGTGCGTTTTGAAGATACCCGGTCTCCACCTAAAATACCCGACCGGGTATTCTGACCGGGGATCGCGAACGCAGGTTGTTAAAAGCTTGTTTTGTGCGTTTTTGCAGGGGGGGGGAGCTGGGTTTTGGTTCCCAAACACACAAGGGACGAACCAAAGAGAGAGAGGGCGATTTGAGGGCATTCTTGGAGTGGAATTGGAGGATTTCTTCGCCTTGGAAGCTCGAGGAACAAGCCCGGACTTGAAGACTGATCATCTGAAGATTCTTACTGCAGTCTCTCTCTTCTCTATGGAGTAACTTCCCTTCACTTAGGTTTTGAGGAACCCTAGCTATGTTTGTTTGATTGGATGATTGTATGAGTACTCTTACTTGATAATCTTGAGTTCATATTCAATCTATGCATGTTTTCATGATTCAATTATGCTTTAGTCGAGATTATTGATTCTGCTTTGATCCTATGAGAGCGAATACCTAATTAGGTCAATAGAGCACCATAGATTGATAGTATCGGATCGATTGCTTTAGTCGAGGGTCGATTCACTACTTTGTATCGATTGAGAACCTCATTCGATAGAGGGAGTCTAGTTCAGAACGCCTTGATCGGTTGTTCTAGAGAAGGATACGTCCCTCTAGGCAATCGACTCAAGAGGGCCTTGTTCCTTTAGTCGAGATTCAAGGTCTATTCAAGAATTCTCCGCATTGTGAATGAAAGTGAAACAAGTTAGAAATCATCAATCATTAATCTGGCTAGTGGCTAGGGGGAATCATACCTAAGTGAGTTCCCAACCTGTAATTAGATTAACTTTAACTGTAGTTTTAGTTCTTCCATCTTAATCTGGTTTGCTAGATAATGAACTGAAGCTGAGTAATAGTAACTCTAGAGACCCGTGGATTCGATATTTATTACTTGAGCCACTATACTGCAGTCCCTTCCATTGGTTACACTTGGCCATTGTTAGGTATTGTGTCATAGCGAGTCATATGCCTCTATATTTTAGAAAGTTATTATATATGTTTTGCTGTTGAAATTTTCATACAATAATTGTCAACCTGGTGAACTGTGATTTGGGTGTCACAAATGTCTAAAATACCCTCTAATAATTTCATTTTAACAATTTTTTATAGCCTAAAACCTCTAACAATTTCACTTTAGCTAGACTTCTAGAAATAAAGAGAGGGGTAAAACTGACATTTTTCCTTTCATATTGTCGAGGTCACGTCATTCGAACTGTAATTGACAATTTTTGGATAAAAATTTTAGGCAGAGGTCATGGTGCTAACACCTAATTTGTTAGCATGATTCTAATACCAGTTTCAGCCAATAGAAACATTTCGTATAAATGACTTTTATTTGCAAAAAGTTGACCACAATTAATAGTAGTTTTTAAAGGGAGGAACGTGCTTGCCATTTACTCTTGCCTCAGTCTAGTCGCAAGGAGACAAAGTAATGGCGAACTTTCTCTTGATTTGAACTCTTGTAAAAGAGACAGCTCACTTTGGAAAGCAACTCTAACAGAAACACCGTGAGAGGAGGTTAACAATAAGAGTCAAACAGATAAGAGAGGTCGAAGAAAAGAGGTGGGAAAAGAGCCCCCGCGGATTGCAAATGAATTCCCCGGTGGGTTCGAAGACCAATGATGAGGCCCTTGCGTCGCGAAAGACAAAGTGAAAAGAGCTCCCTCTATTTAAGAAAGGGAGATACAAGCGCGTGACGCTACTCATTTATTTTGTGCCCTCCCTCCTCACCACAAGCATCATGAAGCATACTATAAAATACATACTAGAAAACACAACAAACTACATCACAAATAACATAAATAGACCATAAAACTTATAAATCGTACCAAAACCTCATCACACCACAAAATTCATAAGACATACAAGAAAACTCAAGGGAAAAACGTTAAGGGAGGAAGGGGTAGGTAACTACTATGCACTGAAGTTATAATAATACCTTTAATAATTATGTTAGCATAGTGTTAACACTAATGAATGTTAAACCCCTATCTAGTCTAACAAATTTAACAAAATAACATGTTTGATAATTTTTCTAGAGTATAAATTTATATTTGATGTTAAAAATAATAGAAACACATATTTGATAAAATCATATAATAAAAGTGCAACTTATACCTATATAAAAAACTAAATAATGTACTCATTGGCTTAGAGTCAGAAACTAATTTTAAGAAGCTATATTCTCAATTTCTCATCTTCTTTATTTATTTTCCCTTTGTTGGGAAAGAAAGGTTTTAAGCTTCTCGTTATCCCCTAAAACAACATCCACCAGTAAGTACAAGGCCCAGAACAGAACAGAAGAGCCAGAGGAAACAGGGGCATCCTCAACTCCAGAGGAGCAACCAAAGCCAAAACAATGGCGACAGAGGCAGTTCGATTGGCAGCCTCACCTTCCTCTTCAATCTGCTCCTTCCATGGTTCCCTAAGGATCTCTAACTCTCTCTCCGCCCCAGTTCGCTTCTTTGGTCTCCCTGCCCCTCGCACTTCAGTTTCATCATCTTCTATCTCTTCCTCCCTCTCTCACTTCCTGGGCGGCCACCATGCCCGCTCGCAATTCTCCATTTCCGGGCAAAAAACCCTACAAAGAAGGAGGCAGAACTTATCTGTCTCCGCCATGGCTGCCGAAGGTCTCTCCTATCCCTCTATCTCATCCCTTAGTCTCTACTTTCGAATGAATGTGTTCATTGAAAAATTACTACCCTACTTTCTCATTCGCCTGATATTTGTGGTGACAATATTCTCTGATTGTGAATGGTTTGGCCGTTCTTCCAGTTTTTGGTTTTGGCTGTTAAATTGATGGGTGATTCTCAAAGTTCGGGTCTTTACAAGTTAATGGTGCTTATAGTTATGCTTCTGTATCGAATTGAGGAAATTGCTCAGTGGGAGTTTTAGGGTACTTGATGGAAATGACATTGGTGAAGTTCAGTTTTTAGTTTCCATACTAATGGTCTATGAATTACGGATTGATTTCGATTCTATTGTAGCTTAGTACTAACATGAATTTCTAACTGTGTCTACTTTGACAGAGGGAAAGCGTGTGGTGCCATTGAAAGACTACAGAAACATCGGAATCATGGCTCACATCGACGCAGGAAAGACCACCACAACTGAGAGGGTACTCTATTACACGGGAAGAAACTACAAGATTGGCGAGGTACACGAGGGAACTGCCACCATGGACTGGATGGAACAAGAGCAAGAGAGAGGGATCACCATTACTTCAGCTGCCACCACCACATTCTGGAACAAGCATCGAATCAACATCATCGATACCCCTGGCCATGTGGACTTCACATTGGAAGTCGAACGTGCTCTCCGTGTTCTTGATGGTGCAATCTGCTTGTTCGACAGTGTTGCTGGAGTGGAGCCACAGTCGGAGACCGTGTGGAGGCAAGCTGATAAGTATGGTGTGCCTAGAATTTGCTTTGTGAACAAGATGGATAGGCTTGGAGCCAACTTTTTCAGGACAAGGGATATGATTGTTACGAACTTGGGTGCTAAGCCTTTGGTGATTCAAATCCCGATTGGCGCTGAAGATGGCTTCAAGGGTGTTGTTGATCTCGTCAGGATGAAAGCTATTGTCTGGTCTGGGGAAGAGCTGGGTGCAAAGTTTGATTATCAGGACATTCCGGATGATCTTGAAGAATTGGCTGAGGATTACCGAGCTCAGATGATTGAGATGATTGTCGAGTTGGATGATGAGGCCATGGAAGGCTATCTAGAAGGCATTGAACCTGATGAAGAAACTATCAAGAAGTTGATTAGGACAGGAACTATTGCAGGCAACTTTGTGCCTGTTCTATGTGGCTCAGCTTTCAAGAATAAAGGAGTGCAACCTTTGCTCGATGCAGTTGTTGACTATCTCCCTTCCCCAGTTGACTTGCCAGCAATGAAAGGGACTGATCCGGAGAACCCAGAAATCACGCTCGAAAGGGCTGCGAGTGATGATGAGCCATTCTCAGGTCTAGCATTCAAGATTATGAACGATCCATTTGTGGGCTCTCTTACATTCGTTAGAGTGTATTCAGGGAAGCTTGCGGCGGGATCTTATGTCCTGAATGCAAACAAGGGGAAGAAAGAGAGGATCGGAAGGCTCCTCGAGATGCATGCCAATAGTAGAGAGGATGTTAGGGTTGTCTTGACGGGAGACATTGTTGCTCTAGCTGGGCTGAAGGACACCATAACTGGAGAAACATTGTGTGATCCGGAGAACCCGATTGTTCTTGAACGAATGGACTTCCCTGACCCAGTCATTAAGGTGGCAATCGAACCAAAAACCAAGGCTGATGTGGACAAGATGGCAACCGGGTTGATCAAGCTTGCACAAGAAGATCCTTCTTTCCATTTTTCTCGAGACGAAGAGACCAACCAGACGGTGATCGAAGGGATGGGAGAGCTCCATCTCGAGATCATCGTGGATCGTCTCAAGAGAGAGTTCAAGGTGGAAGCCAATGTCGGAGCACCCCAGGTGAACTACCGGGAGAGCATAAGCAAAGTAGCCGAAGTTAAGTACGTGCACAAGAAGCAGTCAGGTGGGCAAGGTCAGTTTGCTGACATCACTGTCCGGTTTGAGCCAATGGAGTCAGGTCAAGGGTACGAGTTCAAGAGTGAGATCAAGGGAGGGGCAGTCCCACGGGAGTACGTTCCTGGAGTGATGAAGGGACTGGAGGAATGCATGAGCAACGGTGTTCTGGCAGGCTTCCCTGTGGTCGATGTACGTGCTGTACTGGTTGATGGGTCCTACCACGACGTCGATTCGAGTGTTCTGGCATTCCAGCTGGCAGCAAGAGGTGCGTTCAGGGAAGGGATCAGGAAAGCTGCTCCAAAGATGCTTGAGCCGATAATGAAGGTGGAAGTAGTGACCCCGGAGGAGCATTTGGGGGATGTGATTGGTGATTTGAACTCCAGGAGAGGGCAGATCAATAGCTTTGGAGATAAACCTGGTGGCCTGAAGGTAAGCGAATCAAACACAGTAATGGTAGTCTTTCATGGTCTTTTTTTCCGGAATGGTCGTAATGGATGAAAATTGAATGCAGGTGGTGGATTCACTGGTGCCGTTGGCTGAGATGTTTCAGTATGTGAGCACGCTCAGGGGAATGACGAAAGGGCGGGCTTCGTACACGATGCAGTTGGCCAAATTCGAGGTTGTGCCACAGCATATTCAGAACCAGCTTGCTTCGAAAGAGCAGGAAGTTGCTGCTTGATTCCAGGTTACTTCTGGCGGAGTTGTACTGTTCTCTGTGTAAAAGGCATAATTTTGTTGGCCTGAGGTCTCTGGTTCGGTCTGAATGTAACATATTTCTCAATCATTTATACGTTGGAGATTGTTGTACTTTACGTGAAATTAAAAGGAGATAGAAGGGACAATAATTGCTTAATGAGACAGTCCTCACTCCTCAAGATCGGTATTTTGCAGAGTGCATTCGCTGGTGTGTACAGAAGACACTGGGTCAAGCGAAGCCCAGAGATTGATTACCAGTTTTTGGGTACGTTACATAGAACGTCACTCATCTTCAGCTATTAACAAATCGACGATAGAGCTTTGATTTTTAACGAATCTAAGTCGGTAGTTTGCACACGGAAAGGAGTTCAACTGTTCAAGTGCATTTCACGACCCTAAAAGAAGGGGCGGCATGACCATTGACCATAACAGATTCATCTCAAAATTCCACCCAATACTAAAAGGGGAAAAACCCATGTTCACAGATCACTGTTCGGATCAAATCCCGGCTAAAAGATTACAATTTCCACTGATCTTAACTCAGAGAAGAGGATGACAAAAATACTAGGGGAGAAAATTTGCAGACACAGCATAGAAACAGATCATTCGTCAGCAAATTTATCGAACTTGGATAATGCCAGCATTCACAAGCTTTTGGATCTTGTTCATCACCATGGGGTTCTTCATATGCTCCTGAGCTGCATTTGGGTTCTCCTGAATATCTTGTAAAACCTGAAGCGTTCCAAAACGATGGTAGTCAAGGAAGCATTAGATTTTCTTCAGGAAAAAGCAGGAACGACATGAAGCATAGGATTTAGATAAGTTTGCTTACTTGTCTCATGACAGGGTCAGAGAGGATGTTCTGAACTTCAGGGTCGTGCATTGCCTTTGCCTGCAAGAAAGTAGAACCAAGTCAAAAATCTGTATTTCAAAATCTCTGAACTATGCAATCAAGATTTTGGTAGCTGAGTAAGGCTCCAAACCTGTCTCTCTTTCAGTTCTTCAGGGCTTATATCCCCACGGCTAGCCTTGTTCATTTGATCAACACATCTGCGAAAATTGGAATACTGCGTAAGCAATTCAGTTTAAATTTAAACCAGATAGATCGATTAGAAAGAGGCAAAAGGTTACCACCGGGTGCATACCTTCTTATACCGTCAAGCAACTCTTGGTTCTGAGGATCATGTTTCAAACCTTCTTGGTAGGTCTCCAAGGCCTTCTCATACTCCTTCATGAAGAATTGAATAGCACCCTTTCTCGTGTAACCTTTGGCAAAAGCCGGGTCAAGTTCAATGCACTTTTCGGCATCCTTCAATCCCTCTGGCATAGCACCTAGTTTCGTGTAACAAGCCGCTCTGTTGCTGAATGCCTGAAATGCATAAACCATGATTATGTCATGACTTCCATATCACAATTGAGCATATAACCGTAACAACCCATTGTTATGTGTTTACCCTATGATCCTTTGGGTTTCTCTTGATTGCTTCTGTATAATGCTTGATAGCATCAGGATACTTTTGCTCCTTGAAATATTCGTTTCCTGCACAGAGCATTTTTATAGTTAATTTGGCTGTCATATGAAGGATCCAGAGATATTCAAAGAGTGGGAATGCGGCGTATACCTTTCTCACGTGACTCATCAGCCAGCTTAGGATCAAAATATTCTTGCTGTTCAAGATCCTTCTTCGCTTTCTCTGCTTCATTTAATTTCTTCAGTGTATCAGGGTTACGATGCTCAGTCAGGGCCTTTTGGAAGGTCTCGATCGCTGGTTCATAGTCCTTTGAAGTCTTGGCCATTTTCACCAAGGCAGAACCTTTCCTTGTCAAGGCTCTTGCAACCATCTTGTAATCTGATCGAAGCTCCCTTCCACGCTCCACAGCCTTGTCACAGTCTTTGATACACTCTTCATACTGAAAGATCACACAAAACCACCATCAGAAAATCACCAACGTGGCACAAGCAAAAAAAGCGGCCACAAAAAGATCGAAGTTCAAATCATAACTCTAGAGGACTACTACTTTCACACACGGCACAGAAATTTCATGCCTTCAGAGGAATACAGACCACCGAGGCACAGCTTCAGGTTCTTGCTCCTCTAAACCAAAGCCTACCACATAAACTTATCAAGAACTACCATGCTGTGCAGTGAAGGACTTAACCAAACAGATAGCGAACAAGTCTTGAGGCTCTTCGGGATTCTAAACATAGAAGAAGCAAAACCGAAGTTTCTTGAAAGTACTAGCTATACCAACTGCATGATTAGTATTCAGCCTCTAGTACATTATCATCGTATCTCAGTCAAAGCGTTTCTATCAACCATTCAGTCCATCCTAGATGCGAAAACAGTTTTCATAACCATTCTAGCAATGGAATTAAATAAACTAAGCGAAAGAAGAATTGCTTACCTTGCCCATCTCCAAGTAAACAGCAGCACGGTTAGTGATAAATGAGATATCCTCATCATAAAGCTCAATCGCCTTGGTGTAATGCGCGATGGCAGTTTCAAAATCCTTCTTCTTGTAAGCAGCATTACCCAATTCCTTTTCCTTTAAAGCCTGAGCTTTCTTCTCCTTGGCCTCCCTCTCCTCCTCTGACACATCCATTGGCTCCGGCTCGCGGCTCCTCTCCTCCACAGGCGCATTGGCCGATGTTGGCTTCTTCTCAGGAGGCGGAGGCGGCGGAGACTCACCGTCCGTCTCAGGAATGTCCATGTCCTCTCCGCCGTTAGGCGCCCTGAACTTCACATTGAGCAAAGCTCCCAAAGCCTGCATCACCCTCTGGTCCTTCAGGTACAGATTCAAATTGTTGGGATTCTTCTGAATCTCCTGCATCATCTTCACGAAATCCGGCTGCAGCAGGTAAGGCCTGGTGGACGGATCCGCGGTGAGCTTGGCCCACATCTCCGGCCCGGCAAACGAATCGGCGAACGGATTAGGGCTCTGCGGAGCAGCTCTAGACCTAGAAGACGAAGCGGCGGCGGCGGACTCGGCATCTGCTAGTCCGGACTTCAAGGCTTCGTTGTTGGGGTCGAAGTCGAGCCCTTTCTTGTACGCGACAATAGCGTCCTTGTACTGGGTCAAGCCGAGATGAGCGGCGCCGAGGCGGGAGTAGCCCTTGGACCAATCAGGCTTGAGCTCAACAGTCTTCTTGGCGTCATTCAAGGCGTCGTCATACTTCTGGAGGGACGCGTAGGCCGCCGATCGGTTGGAGAAGAGGACATGGTTAGTGGGAGCGAGGGCGATGGCGTCGGAGAAGTGCTTGATGGCGGTAGTGTAATCGCCGGAGTAGAACGCCGCGTTGCCCTTGGCTTTTGCTTCGTCCGCCATGGAAAAACTGCAGATTCGATTGATTGAAAAGATTAAAGAGAAGGGTTTTGCAGAATTGTACTTAGGATTAGGGAAAATAATGAAGGAAGAAGGGTAATTATAGGAAGAGAAGAAGACGGGAAAGTTCTGGCGATGTTGCAAAACGAGTAAGAGGGTTGAAGAAAGAGAGGCGTTCTCGAAGGTTCTTCTTCTGTTCTGACCTCCTCCGGTCTGCCCCTTTCTAATGTATAAACCGAACTGGTTTGGTCGACTGCCTGCCCATGACTGCTGATCGGGTGGTTTGGAACTGATCAGTTGTATTACAGCTTAATCTATCTATCGACTATCTACATATATCTATCTACCCAATAAATAAAAGTAAAATGAGTAAATTTGGACCTCCATTTCAAATTCCCTGCATCTAGAGTAAAAGTAGGAAGGATAGTTTCGTCTTCACAGTCATTTATTTTTATTTAAATGAAAAAATGCGAATGAGATTTTGAACCATGATCTCTTCAAACAAAAAGAAAACATAACCAATTACACAAAACAAATTTGTTTGATATTTTTAAATTAAAAACATGCAGGAAGGTTAAATCTGAAAAATCATAGAACATTTCTACCACGATTAGCTAATCCACTAACTCTCCCGTAAATATTTTTTTGGTATTTGATACTTCTAATTTCATATTTTATTTATTCTAATTTGAGTTTAATAATTACTTTAATTTTTATTTATCTTATAAAAGGAAGATAATTTTAAATCGCAACCCAAATTTCATTGATTTAAATATTTCATATCGAATTGCACTCTTTTTTCTTCTTCGTTGAATTGAATTGCACTCTTGACTGTGCAGAAGCGATGTAAAATGATTAACATAGACGTAATTTTTATAACTACCATAAATCAACGATATTTTATTTCTCGAACACAAAAGTTTGAGTTAATATGTGACACATGTGTCTTTAAGAGAGAGATAAATATGGAAAGGTTGAGTGATGTTGGTTTGCCGAACGCGGATGGAAAAAAACACTACTCATGTAAACGGCCCTAAATAGTGCCCTGACCCACTAATCGCTCAACCATCGGCGTTTCTCCAAACTTTCCATCAGACTCAGCAACTAGCTAACCTCCTCCACGTGTATTGTTACGCCAGAGCAATTTTTGGAGGGGTTAAGGCGCTACTAATGTAAACGGGCTCAATTCCACTAAACGCTCAACCACCGCGCTTACTTTCGCTACACCTAATATAATAGTGAAATGGAAAAGGTGTTTTCTGTATTACAAAATCCTTGCATCCATAACGAAAGTAGGAATGGAAGATTTGTCTTCATAATCATTTATTATTTTCTTATTTACAAGAAAAAATCCATCATTGATGAGATTTAAACTATAGTCTCTTTGAAAAAAGACAAGAAACATAACTAGTTACGCTAAAAAAATTAATCAGTTTAAATTAAAAACATACAGGAAGCTTAAATTTGAAAAATCATAGGAATTTTCCATCATTGTTAGCTAACTCACTTACTCTCCCGTAAATATTTTCTTGGTATTTGATAATTCTATTTTCATATTTTGATTATTTTAATTTTAGTTTAATAATTAATTCTATTTCTATTTATCTTATAAAAGAAGAATAATTTTAAAATCCTAACCCTGATGTTATTGGTGCAAATATTGCATATCCAATTGCAGTATTGAATAACTAACAGAAAACAACAATATTTTTTAAGATCGAAGTTTTGAGTATATATGAGGCACATTCTTTAAGAGAGGGGCAAATATGGAAAGGTTTAGTGACGTTGGTTTGTCGAATGCAAATGTAAAAGACGCAACTAATGTAAACAGATCTAAATACTCATTAAACACTCAACCATCACCGTCTCTCTAAACCTTCCCATCAGACTCGACAACCGCCTAACCTCCTCCACCTATATTGTTAAACCAAAGCAAAATTCGGAGGGGTAAATATGGAAGGCTGAGTTTTCTGCTTGGAGAGTTGATTGGTGGGTTATTTAGTTTCTTTGACAGTAATGTGTGATCTCTTAACATCAGCTCATTTAATTGATCTTTTAGGTGACTTTTGAGTTGATTAAAGATATATAACTATACTTTTTTTTTGCTTTTGTTTTGATACTCCTTTTCAGTATCATCATTTTCCTAATTTGAATATTTTTATTGTTAGTTTCCAGTAAACAAAGATTATTCTGCTTAGTGTTAACATAGGGAATAGCTTCAATCATATACCACTTTTACACATATTTATATGTAAGAGTTGAGATAGTTGCTGAATTGAACTATTCAAGCTATAATTATGATCTTCAACATATAGAACATTGTTTCTTTTGATTGAAATAACCTCATGATTGCAGATAAGTTTTTACAATACGATGTTTAGTGATAGTGGTCACTTACTTCCAGATTTAAAAGTGGAGTTCTAATAATTACAATATAAAAAGCACGAGTGATACCCATAATTGGAGCAGATACAAGGTGGTTTGATATTCTTCTCTCTATAAGGAATAAATACATGGTGAGCATATGTTGACATGGGAAGGACAAACCAATCGAACTCTTTGTGTTTTTAGTATAGCCTGTTGAAATATACACATGCCTAGACCCGACAGATTCGACATCTCTACCTGGAATTTATTTACGGGATTTTTGCTCATGAAAACTGCATGCCAAGTAAACTCCCTCCTTAATCCTTTTAACTTTCTTAATCTGCACATGCATACCCTCATAGGAAATATGTACGAAATTATAATTTGGGTGCTTCATTAGTGTTGTTTCCATAATATTGTATTATATGAGGTGGTTGTTCTGGAATTGGGAATCGTGATTGTATCTCCTCTCTAAAAAATTGTCAAGTTAAGCTATAAATGAGGTTTCTCTTTAGTTTAGATGGTAAGAGAGCAATGAGACACTTCAAATTGATTGGGGTTGATGCAGTGGCGGAGGCAGGATTTGAAATTACCCCTGTCCTCCCTGTCCTCTTTTCGTATTATAAATATATAAATATTTAATGAATTTAAATTAATAATATCTAACAAATTTATTTTCATATATAAAAAATAACGACCAATACAATCGGTATATTCATAAACAACCATGTTGAGTTTTCATATTCTTAAAGAAACACAAAATATACTCTTAAGTAAGTCCTTTCCAATGGATCCCACTAAACAATCATTTAGCAAACTAGTTGTGAGTTCGACTTCAGAATTCGTTCTTGATATATCTCAAAGCTGGAAATATTTTATCCACACTTGTCGTCAAAACTAGTGGAATCGACGCTATCACTGAACTGCTTCAAGATTGCTGGAACAATAATCGAATAGACATATGAAGAAAAGAGATATATTCCAATTGAGATTTTGTTTATAGTATAATATATTAATTTAAACTCAATTTATAATCAAGTAATGAATTGTGATTAGTGACAAAATATGTTGTACTAAGTGTCGTGTTCCATCCTTAACATAAACATATATGGAGTATTTTTGTTCCTCCCAAAATTTACCCCTGTCCCGGGACAATGCCAAATTAGGCTGGCTCCGCCTATGGGTTGATGAGGCATGAGAAACAGGCTAGGCTTCTTCAGTGCATCACAAGATTTTGATAGTATCTCGACCAAATAAATTTTTGTTGTCGTCTTACTGATGTCGATACAAGATGTTTACCTAGAGGAGAGCCCCAGCAAGTTAGCCTTGGAGTTGCAATGCAAAAATTGGCAAGGAAGAAACGTTTTATACAAAAGATCATACTATGATCATATAGAATGTGTTGGTAAAGATAGCCGCCAATCTCATTTTATTGACGAAGCCATCGAGGGGAAAAGAGAATCGACATTAGTACTCTAAATAGTGTAGCTAAGTGATTTTGAGTGATTTGGCAAGATTTCACAGTGGTAGGGGTATCGACAAAAGTTGTTATAAGTTGGTGTTTTCCAGGCATATGTTGTTTGCCTATTTCTTTTGTTTGATATGAGATTTCTACAACAGATTCAATGCTTTGCATTTATGTTCTTTTTCTGTCATTTTAGATAACCAAAATATTCATCAGGAAAAACTAGTCGATGCATTCCATCGACTTATTTTGGACATTGCTAGTTTTGATTTTCTTAGTCAGGGATTCATTGTCTTTTGTGTCACTGTGGTTTTTGGTCTAAGGGCAATCCGGATTGAATTTTCTTTATGAAATCTCTTGGTGGCTTCCATTTTCATCATCGGGAATTGGAGCCAGGTAAGCATTCCTGTTGTTTCTTCATGTTCACTCTAGGGGCATCAAGGTGTTTGGCAATAGTGGCTAGAATTAGGACTAATCACTTGGTTTGGATTGTCCATTATAGTGTTTATGTTTATTGGTTCTTTTGTAATGCAATGGGATAATGACTTTCCATCATATTATTATAGTGTTGTTGACCTATCTCCGGCCATCGCCACAAACATTCTAATGGGTAATATAAGTCAGAATCAGACTACCAATCTCCGAAACTATGTTCGGCTGAGAGGTTGGGTAGTAAGCACATATATTTAAAGCTACAAGGGAACACTTGACCTCCCATTTTAGATTTTCTGCAACGAGAGCAAAAGTAGGAATGACATTCATGTCTTCACAATTACTTATCTTTTTATTTATGTATAGAAAAATAAAGAGACATATTGTGATTTGAACTATGGTCACTTCAAACAAAGTCAAGGTTCCCCTGTAGATTTGTTGTATCCTTTTAAATTAAAAATATACATGAGCTAAAATATGAAAATCACAGAACTTTTGAACAATTAGCTAGCCAAATAAATATTTGTAAGTACTTATTAGGTGTTTTGATAGTTAAATTTTGAAAATTTGTTTATTTTAATTATAATTTAATACTTAATTAATTTTTTTTTATCTATCTTATAAATAGACGGACGGGTTCAGGCTGGTTCAAATCGAGTTGTGGGTTAATCGGGTTGTGAGTTCATCGGGTTCCGGGTTCATCAGGTTTAGGTCAATTGATTCATGCGCCGGACGAGCTGTGGGCCAATTGAGTCACTGGTTGATTCGGGTCCAATTTTACACATTTTAACCCACATTTCTTGATATTTTGCCTTTGCATTTCATCGTCCCTCGACATATTTCACGTTAGGTTGTGCTTGTTTTGATACATTTCAGGTCCTAGCACGTGTGGAAAGGTCGAGGACGAGTTTTGGGACGATTGGTAGGGCTGGAAAAATAGACCTGACCGTTAGAAAAACCGTGGTCCAAACCGTATCGCACAATTTGGTCAGGACTGTAGACTGTTAAGTATGGTCTGGTCTGGCCCATGGTTTGTATTATTTTTATGTTTTGATCTCTTGGTCTGGTCTGGTCTAGACCGCGGTTTACCGGACCAAACCATGGACCCAACTGACTTGTCAATACGTGTTAACAGCTCATTCAATCACTCTCACAACTCCCACAACGACATCCAAGTGTCAACCTTAATTTTGTAAATCTTGTCCCTCCTTCATTCAGAACCACACTTAACCAGAGAGTAGAGATAATCGTGTCTCCATATGACATTATGTTAATGTTTATAACGTTATGGTGCAAGTTGATATGCTTTTACTTGATATCTTTGTTATGTACTAAGATTTAGGGTATCAAATTTATTCATGCATGTCAGGATTAATGTTTTAAGGCAAATAAAAATTATTTTTCTTAATTATTGGTTCAATTTTTTGTGTGGTTGACTAAAGGATGACTAAAACGTTTCATCGAGGCAAGGATCAACGACGCAAGAAGAGATCCCAATGACATGCCGAACTCCAGTAGGAGAGAAATCTGCCCCGCGTTGACTAAAACCGGTCTGATCTTAGTTGGAAAAGTATGCAGAAGACATCGTATCCACCCTTCTGTACACGACCCTTCAATCTGGTGGCATCAGATCAACTGCAGTTGACCATGCCGCGTCCCACATCGGTAAGGCGAGTGGGCTTCTCTTACTGCTCAGGTCATTGTCGTGTCATGCAAGAAAGAGCCGTCAGGGCTCGTATATACCAATCGAGATGGCGTTGAAACACAAGTTGTTGGTTAAAGAAGGGGGGAGGTCATACGTTCAATTCGATTCACCGGGGGGAAGCTTGAGCGATGCAGTGTTTGAGATGGCGTCTGTCGCAAATGCTCATCTGGAGAAGGCTCGTCAGCTGGCTGGAACGATGCCCGTTGAAGCTCGTCTAGTGTTGTTGCCTTCAGTCCTCGCCCAAGTTCTGTTGGATACTCTGAAGAAAGTAGAGTTTAATGTCTTCGAGCCAATGTTGTCTCGTGGGATTATATGCGTGCCACCTATGTGGTACCAGATAAAAGTAAAGTGGCATTCATGGCGGAGGAAATACTGAAAAAGCTTGTGTTGTCAGTTATTTCAACTAAGCGTCTTGTTTTTGCTCATGAAATGTATTCTCACTTCTCAAAATGTTGGACCTTTCGATTAATTGTTAAAACGGATTCCACTCGCTGGGGAAAAAAAGGCTAAAGAAACATAAAGAGTAATTTTCGCTAAGAGGAGGGTTCCACTCGTGGGATTATATGCGTGCCACCTTTGTGGTACCAGATAAAAGTAAAGTGGCATTCATGGCGGAGGAAATACTGAAAAAGCTTGTGTTGTCAGTTATTTCAACTAAGCGTCTTGTTTTTGCTCATGAAATGTATTCTCACTTTTCAAAATGTTGGACCTTTCGATTAATTGTTAAAACGGCTTCCACTCGCTGGGGAAAAAAAGGCTAAAGAAACATAAAGAGTAATTTTCGCTAAGAGGAGGGTTCGAACCTCCGACCTTGTGGTTAACAGCCACACGCTCTAACCAACTGAGCTATCCCAGCTTGTTGACAATGGTCACGTTTGTTTTATATTATTATAACAGTGAATCAAAACTTGCAATCTGCCAAATATAATTCAAATGTCTTATTAACCGTAGTAAACTCTCCTTGATTAATAGGAGTGTAAGAGTACAAAATAGTATCCCACAACTTCATTTCTGAAAGCAACAATTGGGAACCAGAGAAGCTTCATGAGTCATGACTAGCTATCAAAACTTTTTTTCATAAGACCAACTATCCATTATCCGAACTTGGCTACAAGCTCGAGCAAGGAAAAGGCTCATTAACACTATATCTTGCACTGTTCATTAACTCAAAGCTTTCCTAATATGAAATCTCCCTTGTGCATGTGTAAGACTAAGAGATCCTGAGATTTTTTTTTCTCCCAAGAAAAGCAACACAGCGTTACCTATTTTTTGGACAATAGTCACGGTTCCGACCAATTGACCGGATTCAATGCATAAAATCATAATCACACCAATTATGTTTTATATAAAATCAAATTGTCCTTTTACATTACTATTTCAATATTTGAAATAGTTTATTTTGTGGTAACATCCTACTATTTAATATTCGTAGCAACAATCAATCAATGGTTTATGTCATAAACAATATATATAATTTTAACTTAAGATGTTTAATCACTAAATATTGGTAGTTTGTTATGTCTCCCATAGGCCTATGTTGAAAATATCCGGCAAATAGACATGCAAGACAACCGACTCCTAAAAATAATCAGACCGTACTATTTGTTCCTCACTGTCAAGAAAACGTTGACTCATTCCTAATGTGGATGTTTGTAAACTCTCGATGTAATACATTATGTCTCGATTTTCAACCATTGTACTCAAATTTATTATCTTATACCATAAACGTTAGCTTACTATTCTCAAAATTAGGAATAACTCTTAACCCATGCTTATTGACCCCTTAGTATATCATTGAATTTCTCACTAAAGAGTTTGATCTCCAGATAAAAATTTTAAATCCAAATTCATGTAATCGGTACATCATGAAGGTTCTATCCTTGTCACGATATTTTTGCTAATGATTCCTTACATCTAGCACTTGATCTAGAGATTTTACATATTCTTGGTAAATAATTTAAATTTAATATTTACTTATTAATATAACTAATAGATAGAATGTGCCAATAACAATCGCGAGCATATGGTTCCAATCAAGGTTGTCAAACTATTTTAATTTTTGAGTCGATCAAGCTAATGTTTTGAATTTTAATGGTTGAATTGGAGTCCAACCTATTTAAGTCATTTTATCCATACTAAATAAATATATGCATATATATGGTAATAATTTAAGATTTGTTTTTCCCACAAAGTCAGTAGTTATAAAATCAGACATATAGAGAAAATAAAAAGAGCGCGGGAGTCGACCAATAGTCGAACTCTCGATGAGAGGGTCTTTTATGCCACATGATGGACAACCCTATTGAGACAACGGAGAACAAAACAGTAAGAAACCCAACTACAGAGAGAAGCCGAGCTCTGAGCATCCTGCAAGATAGTTCCATCCTGATCATGAGCCAAGTCACCTGTCTGAGGAAGTCTCTCCGATAACGGGAGCTCTTCTGCATGCCCCTACAAAAAAAAAAAAAAAAAAACAAACAAAACACACAAGCGTCCCCACTGTAGGACAACTAAGCTCCGCCAAATGGACTTAAACAAGCCATTAAGGCTTAGTCGGATACACCGAATCCAAAACTATGTCAAATTAATTTTTTTTTAAGAATAGTTAAAGAAAAGCAACAAAAAAAAACGTACGAAATTGACAAATAAAATGAATAAAAGGGAGGGTAAGTATCAAAAGAAAATAAATACAAATTACTAATAAATAATGAAGGAAATGTATAGCGGTTAATTAAAAAGATAAAGGAAATAAAAAATGACTAAATTGCAATAATGTAAAAAAAAAAAAAAAATAGAGGAGCCTGTTTGAGTTACTTACCTGGAGCAGTTACGCCATTCCAAAAGGTGTGAAATTGTAATTAATTAAAAAACACAGTTACCAATTACTTGCAGCAGATCTCACCGGAACCGTCCGTTCAGTTACCCCAGGTAACCGCTGTCTTTCTTCTCACCTTTCTCCTCTATGTCTCTATCCTTCGTCTCCACCTCCGGCCGTCATCATCCGGTCACAGAAGTCGGAATCTTCCCTCCTCCGCGCCACGGAACGCAATCAAATCGGACAAAAGTCCCTCCCTCGAACCAACTCCGTTGTTCACTGACCCGCCACCGCCACTACTGCTACCAGTAGTCTCCCCGCTGGCCTTGACTTGGACACCATTTACGCTGCTGCCGCTGGTTGCCGTTCCAATTTCGGACTTGGAACTAGGGGCTTGAACTTCAACTGAAGTCGATAGGTTGCCGCTTGTTGCCGTCGTAGGTTTAGTGGCGACGGGTTCCTATCCTTTCGGCTTCCCCTGCAGCCAGCCCTCGCCTCGCCAATGACAATCCCAAAGCCTTCTTCTTCTTCCTGCAGGCAGCAGTAGTAATTGCATTAATATATTACTTGACCCTAAAAGCTGCATATATGTGCTTCATTTTTCATAATAGGGTTTGACAGAGGACCAAAACACATCATTCTCGATAAAAGTCAGAAACTGGTCAATGCATTCTTTCTTTCGTGTATGGTATGATTGTCGCTACTCTTTTTTCTACTCGTCACTCGATCGCAGTTGCCTTGGTACTACATAAGAAAATATCCACTGATAGTTTATTCTTTGAACTGGTATGAGAATTGGTAGTTATTATTTTTATCAGTATATATAATCATAGTAATTGTCTGAAAAAATAAATGCTATATTTGTAACCATAAAAATTTCAAATTATTTAATCACTTCTAATATCGTACTCATGCTATCTTCAACATGGTAATAACCCGCTTTATAGATTAAATTCCTTACTAAAAGTAAAAACAAAAGCCATGCAAGAAAAATTGACTCCTAACAATTTAATCAGACCGGACTATTTGCTCCTCACTGTCAAGAATTACTGCAAACTTCATTTGGATTTGTTGTGATCGCTTTGCGATTTAAAGCACAATCATTCCCACCAGTTACATTAATGCCTTCGTCTTCCTTAATAAAAACTTTATCTTCACGATAGGCTCTTCCTTTTTTGAATTTCAATGGAAGCTTTTTTTTCCTCATTTCATTGGAAGCCAATCTTTAATAGTAATGTTTGGAGACAGTAAACATTACACACAGAAGAATTTACGTCATTCGAGTCAAGAACATGTTTGAGCCTTTTTTTTCCCCTGACATTCATAAACAACCCAGCGACCAACACAAAATTTGATAGTCTATAGATTGAAAACGGTTTAAGGGCTCTCTTTTCTTTATACATGAGTTAGCATTTAATTAATTGTCTCCAAATATTTGTCACCTGTCTACACAATACATCAACGCAAAACATGTGTTATAATTCTCTCATTTCAAATTTCGTGGCCTGAGAGTGATTTTAGGAAGGTCATTTTTGTCATTACACTCAGCCAATCTTTAATAGTAAATGTTTGGAGACAGTAAACATTACACACAGAAGAATTTACGTCATTCGAGTCAAGAACATGTTTGAGCCTTTTTTTTCCCCTGACATTCATAAATTTGATAGTCTATAGATTGAAAACGGTTTAAGGGCTCTCTTTTCTTTATACATGAGTTAGCATTTAATTAATTGTCTCCAAATATTTGTCACCTGTTTACACAATACATCAACGCAAAACATGTGTTATAATTCTCTCATTTCAAATTTCGTGGCCTGAGAGTGATTTTAGGAAGGTCATTTTTGTCATTACACTCAGCCAATCTTTAATAGTAAATGTTTGGAGACAGTAAACATTACACACAGAAGAATTTACGTCATTCGAGTCAAGAATATGTTTGAGCCTTTTTTTCCCCTGACATTCATACACAACCCAGCAACCAACACAAAATTTGATAGTCTACAGATTGAAAACGGTTTAAGGGCTCTCTTTTCTTTATACATGAGTTAGCATTTAATTAATTGTCTCCAAATATTTGTCACCTGTCTACACAATACAACAACGTAAAACATGTGTTATAATTCTCTCATTTCAAATTTCGTGGCCTGAGAGTGATTTTAGGAAGGTCATTTTTGTCATTACACTCAGCTCATGTTTATTATTAAAAATATTATCATTGGAGTTTGAACCTTGGTCACTTGAATGAAGAAAGAGCATTATAACCAACTAGGCTACATTTTATTCATTGTTATTTTTTTTATTGAACTCTAACAATATGTTTGGTGATGATGCTTCTATATTTATATTTTATCTTAAGTTATTTATATTTGATAGAAAGGTATTAATTCTGAAATCGGAACCCAAGTAATATTGATTCAAACATTAATATTAAATTGTATGTGTTGTTTAGTTAAAAAAAATACAGAACTGTAACCAAAACATGGACATTTGTGACGAGTATAATCATTTTTTGTGAAAAATCTACACATAATATAATGATAAAATTGGAAAATGAGAGTCTC